CCTAATGTATAATTTTATTGATTTAAGTTTTAGAGTCCGGAAGGAAGTTCTGTGAGTTCTTCATAGACAACGATACTCTTGGAGTATATGGTTTATTTCCTCTTTTTTCCCTGATGGGAAACCAGAGGAGCTTTCACATACTTTGCATACTTGATATTAACTCGTAGGCTGCTTCATAGAGACTAATCTAGTTCATATCACTGCAAAGAATCTATTTTAATCTTTTAGATAATGTTATTGTGTCCTCTACTGTTAAAGGTTAAAAGTACAGACTGTAGGGTCAGACTGCCTGCATTGGAGTCCTAATTCCGGTACTGATTCAGTTTTCCCATCTGTAAAATAAGAGTAACATTAGTACCTTAAAAGGGTAAATTTTGAGAATTAAGTGAAATAACATGTATAAAACAACAAGAGTCCTAATTTATTTTAAGCACTCAATAGTTTATTATTAGTTTTATATTTACCCTAATTATTTTATAACTAAACAGCAGCTTACTCTGGCTATATGTAATATAAGGAAAACTCTTCTTCTGCTGTTCCTCAAACATAAAAATACTGAATTATGACACTATGTTTGTGTTCAATAACTATTTAGTTAGCATTGAGGCTAGGTGAAACACTACATAGAGAATGGCAGAAGTATGCTGATGATTCCTACACAACTTGTGTATGATTCCCATATGTTTTCTGCCAGATATTTTTTCTCATTCTGTATATGTAAATCTATTTTTAAACTTTTGTTGAATATCTGTTCAAAAAATTGTGCTAGGCATTGTGGAGGAATCAGTGAGTTGAAAGAGGAAGCATCTTCCTTGGGGATACTATTTATATCATGAGAAAAGATATAGATAATTCAATAAAAATGCAAAAGCTCTCAAAATCATTGTGGTGTTAATTGCTACATCAGTGGTATAGAAAATACATGCTCTATATCCAGAGTGAGAAAGATAAGTGTGGAATATAAGAGTTTTGGTGTTTTGTTCTTTGTACTCATGATAATACCTTACAAACTAAATTGTTAAGAATGATTACTTTGTTTTATACAGTAATACAATTTTACAACAAAAATATAAGCTATATGGAAGAGTAAGAAAAAGGAAATCATACCTCTCTCAGAATTTTATCTCTCACATACAACTGTTGCTAACAGTCAATGGAACTATGGTGTATTTTGAGTAGATGGGCAGGATTATTTAAAAGTGAGAAATACTCTTATGTGCTCTTTTTTAAATAAAATAACTTATTTTAAAGTAATATAAAGTAAAACCAAAGGACGTTCATTTTCAGATAAAAATTTTTTTACTCAGAATACTTTCCAAGTTTATTATTGCTTAAGAAGAATGATGATACAAAAAATAGTAGAAGAATTGAGTCACTTTTTATTCAAATTTAGGCAGTGTTAAATAGCTGAATTCTATGAAGGATGATGTTAGTGTTTTATACTTTCTCCTCCACAAATACTCAGTTTTCCCATTCTATGGATACTTTCATTTCATCAAGATTTTTAACATTTGCATTTTGTAGTGCCATCATAATCTCCTTGATACTTAGTCTTTGATCCGTATGTATATGTATTCAACTTACCATGTGTTCTTTTTTCCAAACTTTTTACATTTTCATTTTGCTTACTTTGGTTCTTCTGTTTGCTGACTGGGTTTTTTTCTTTATTTAAATTTTGATTATAGTTACACAGGCATATTGAACAATGATAAAACACCTATAATGAAAAGCAGCAGTTCTCTGCTCTCTCCCTCCCCAAACACAATTCCATTCCCTATGGGAACCTTAAGAACCTCATTATTTCAAATTTTGTTGTTGTTGTTCCATGTTTCTGAAAGATACATTTATACTACTATTTCTTGATTTACTAATTCTATTACCTATTGTTTTCTGTAATATGCTGGATAAGGATTTCAATCTATTAGTCTATCAGACTCTTTCCTTATTCTCTAGTATATTTAAATCTCAACTTGTAGTTAAATCATTAGTCATATTTTATATTATTATGATTGCCTTAGTCCATTTAGGCTGCTTTAACAGGATACCATAGACTTGGTGGCCTAAACAATAAAATATTTATTTCTCACAGTTCTGGAAGCTGAGGTCACGGTGCCAGCAGGTCAAATTCTGGTGAGGTCCCTCTTCTGGGTTGCAGATTGCTGACTTCTTTCTGTGACCTCACGTAGCAGGAAGTGCAAGGGACCTCTCTGGAGCCTCTTTTATAGGGACACTAATTCCATTCACGAGGGCTCCACCTTTATGACCTCATCACCTCACATTGGCCCACCTCCTAATACCATCACACTGGAGGTTATGATTTCAACGTATGGGATTTTGGGGAGGACATAAATATCCAATCCGTACAATGATTATGTACACATTTACACTGTTGATCCAAATAGTATATAATGATCCTGCTTTCTTTTTTGTTTTGTTTTGCTTTGTTTTTCTGCAATTAATTTTTCTTCTTTCTTTTGTATTTTACATGTAAAAGATTATAATGTATCTATCTTTAATTTTTTTCAAAATGTCCAGTCAGAACTGTCAAACTTCTGTTAGCATTTTTTCTCAAATTTTCAAATATATGATACAATCTTACGATTGTTTTATTTTCTTTGGATCTCCCTCCCAAAATACTCCATTCATCTATTATAAGTCCCTTTGCCTCTTGAATAGCTACCATCCTGAAACTTCCTTTTTTTTTTGATATTTTAATTTACTTTTTAATTGCCATATAATTTACATGCACAATCTAAGATATACAGATGAACAGATTTTTACATATGTATACTTTGTGTAACAACCACTCAGATCAAGATATAGAACATTTTCAGAACCTCAGCAGGCTCCCTTTTATCTGCTTCCATTCATTAATCCCACTCCCAAATATTCTGATCTGTATCGCCATGAATTTTTTTTCTATTTTTGAACTTTTAATAAATACAATCCTTCAGTATATACTTTTTCTTCTTTCAGTCAACATTATATCTTTGGATTCATCCATGTTGCATGTAGCAGTGGTTCATTCTTTTTTATTGCTGTGCAATATTCTGTAGTATGAATACACTATAAAATTATTTTTGTAAGAGCTATTTTATAATTTATTATAATATGCCTTTGAAATTGCTCTGAAAAAATCTACCAACCTAATATTGTTCTCCTCTTGAATGACTTGCTTTTCTTTCCTAGATATATGAAGAGGTTTTATAATAATCGTTAAACCAAGTGAAATTTAATCAAGATGTTTTCTCTAACAGTTTTTCCATAGAATTGGTTCATTTTTCTTCCATATTTTAAGGATTTTAAAAAGTATATTTTAAAACTTTTAATGCATCTTTTGTTCTCTTCTACTTCAGGTTTTGGGATTATCTTTATATTGAATCTTTTCCTTTTTTGGCTCTTCCCCATATATATCAGATTTTTCACCAATTGCTTTAATTTTGTTCTCTCTTTTTGTGTTTACTATGAAAATATGAAGCTTTACTTTGAGGCCAGAAATGAAAATATTATCTGTGTCTAAGCTAGTCATTGATTTTTCTAATTTATTATCTGGGCAATGGTATTGCTTTGGCTCTCAACTTGTCTTTTTATCTATTTGTTATACCCTTTCAAATGATTCTTTTAAAAATATCAAATCAGTATGTCTTTAAACTTTGGTTTTATTTAATCAGTGGTTTTTTAATACTGTGAGGGACTTTTCTTGTGTTTTTCTTCCCTGCTTATGATTCCTACTAGTCTTTTCATGCTGTGTTACTTTCATTATTATGATGATCATATATATTATTATTGTTAATATTGTTGTCATCATCTCTTTCAATAACTATGAATTTGTATTGCTAATCCTTTCATCTTGCTCATGATTCTCTTAGCTCAGTCTAGGCTTTCTATTTGCTTAATATTGTGTGGGTAAATTATTCCTTAAATTCCCCTCCCTAATTGCTACTTTTTATTTCCCCTCCAAGCTATAGTTTGAGAGACAAAATCTACATTCCAGTCAGTTTTTATGGCCTGAGAGAAAAGAGGAGAAGAAGATCTGTCAGTGTGACTCTCAGGTTGGAGGTGGTGGATTGTAGTCTCTAATGAGACCCTGTCTGCAAGGCCCCTCTCCAATGCCCAGGGATGCTCTTGAGTTCCTGTGTAATTTGACTGGCTTTACTGACTCAGCTTTGAGCCTTGGCTTGTTTAGGATTCAGCCTTTCCTGCTTCTGCAGACACCCCCGATCAGTTTCCAGCTGGGGAAGAGATTCATGACCACCCTGGTGGTTTAAAAGTTTTTTCATCAGTGCTGGTTTAGGGTGTGAGATAGGTTTAGGATTAGTACTGCCTCACCAGAACCTCTGATTTATTTCATCAACAACAACTTTTTAGTTTGTGGCATGAGATAATACCCCCATTATTTGGTTTTTGCTATTGAATTTTTTTCTTTTAAACAATTTTTATTTTGTTGGTTTTCTGGGCATAGAGTTATGTAATCTGTCTTGATGTACCCATCTTTACCTGGAAGAAGGATTTTAAAGTCCTTTAATGTAAGTTGTCTTATTTCTTCTCAGAATAATCCGATTCATTAGGTAGGGCTTATTTTTTTTTTAACCCTTCATTTAGTTGGTGAAGAAACATGGCTGAAAGGAATTAAATACCATAATCTAGGTAAAATTTTGTGGTTACTGGCAGAGCCATGCCTAGTAGCCCAGCATCCCTAATCCCACAGAATACTCTTTCCATTCTATCTCATTTATTTCTGTTGAGCTTCCTAGATTAACATTTCTGCAGTGAGTACAGTGTACCCTTGCACAGAGCATGAACTCTGTGTTGCTTCTGAAGGATTACTTTACTCCCATAGGATTCTGATGGGGATAATATGAATTATATTATTGGTCTCCGGTATAAGCAAATTAATATATTCCCTAAAGAGTACATTTAATTCTTTGAAAAATAATAATATAACCTGCTGTTAGCATGTCAAATATAAGAAAATTAATTTATTATTTTCTCCTTTCCAGAAAATGCAAAAGACATCATCATGATACATGAAGAAGATGCTGAAGAATGGGCTTTGTACTTGAGAGAAGTTTTTTCACATGTTGTGAAAAGGGAAGCAATCCTGTTATATCACTTGGAGAACTATTCTCTTCGGGATTTGGAATTGCTAAGTTTAAACTCTTACAAGTGTAAACTTTTGATATTATCAAATAGCCTGCTTCAAAACCTATCTTCAAAGAAATGTCAGTTTCTAGAAAACGTGCTGCATTCACCAGAAAGTGTGGTTACTCTGCTGTGTGGGATGAAGAGTTCAGATCATCTTTACAAATTATTAAATATCTCTGGAGGCAGATGGGAGATCTCAACTGAGCAGGAGCCTGAAGACTACATCTCTGTAATCAAGAGTATCATATTCACAGGTAGTGTTGCCAAAGCTTATTTGTTTGTTTTTATTTACTTATTTTTATAATAAAAAATCTGAAGTTTTTTTGAATCAATGAATATCTGATGTTGGGATTAAAAAAAAGAAAAATGAAAGCCAACTTTATTTAATGGTATGTTACACTTTCCTCAAAATGCATGAAGGTTCTTAATTTTTAGCTTTATTCCAGTCAAGGCTTATCTGTTCAAAAAATGGTTTAAAATTATATTTCTTAGGGCAGCCCATATGAGATCATACTTGGTAGAACAAATATGGAATGCTAGGTTATATGTCGGTTTGGTTCTGGAAGCTGATTTCTCAGTTAAGTAGTGAGGCTTGAGTTAATGTTGTCTACCCTAGTATTGGTGCCATTCAGTAGCAGTCCAGGGTTTGAAGGTCTGAGTTATTATAGAACTGTAGAATTTGCCTTGTGCTGATAAGTGTATGATATCATTACTCTGGTATGATATACTGTTATTTTCATTAATTTTAAATAACAAATTTAGTTTTAATCATTGAAGCATTGCGTTAAAGGGCGGAACACAGGGACCTGTTCATTAATTAATTACAGTTTCATGTAATAGTCAAAACTCTGAAGCTTCCTAGTGTTAAAGCTTCTCCCTCCCCCAGGGCTTCAGCCTTGGTGTGGGAGGGGTGCTGTGCTCAGCTGCTTGCCTGGTTTTCTCACCTTGCCTCTTGCCTTTAACTCCCAGTGTTCCAGCTATGGTTTCCTCTCCCGCAGAAAAGAGGTGGGGTTCTTATCTTCTCCTGGCCACATCACATATTAAGTGCTGGCTCTTTTTCTTGGAGCATGTTTCTGGGCTCTGTGGAGATCCCCTCATTCCCCGGGGGGTGTCTCACCTGCAGTTCCTCAATGAGACAAACGTTTCCTCTCCTCTAAGTTCCTAGTTGTGGTGGTCCACCCTGTATAGAGTCTTAATATTAATTTCTACAGCTTCTTTATAAGTCTCTTTTGGTCAAAGTCACTGAGATATCTCCCCGCTGGCCCTTTCTCACACCTGGCCTACATCTGTCTGTAAAATCATTCGTTTTTCTTCTGCCGTGACAAACTCTGGGCACACAAGCCATTCCCAATAGAGCCACCACCATCCTGCCCTCAGAGCAGCAATGCACCACAGCCTCTTACCTTTAGTCATTTCCAGGCATGGGTCTAGCCTGAGTCTTGGTGTCCTGTAAAGCCAGAGAACACCTGTCAGTCCCAAAGGCTCTGCTGGAAACCCTTGTCCCTCTGCTTGAGGATGATGATATCCCTCAGTCTTCCCTGTGGAGGATGGTGGGACTCACAGCACATCAGCGACTCTTTAAAAAATCCTCTCCCTATTCTCCAGCATTCCAGCTTCTTCAAATTCAATACTTCTTAAGCCTTGTTTTGGTTCTCTATTGTTGCGTAACAAGTTACCTTAAACTTTAGCAACTTCAGACAATGATGCTATCACAGTGTCTATGGCTGAGGAATCTAGGAGCAGCTTAGCTGGGAGGTTCTGGATCAGGGTATCTCCAGAGGTCCTGGTTAAGCTGTCTGGAGCTATAATCCCCTGAAACTTCCAGTGATCACTCGGGGAGGATTTGTTTCCAACAGGAGCTTACATTGTTGTCAAGTTTGTTATTGTTTTTTAACAAACTCTTGGATGGAAGCCACCTCTAGTAGATTCCCGAGGAAAAGCAATGTTTCTGAAATCTTGCACCTTCCGAAGTGTTTGTCTCTTGTCTTATACTTGAAGTGCAGTTTGACCATGTTGCTGTTCTTTCTTCTAGCATTGTAGAATTTAGGGAATTCTTATTTGCCTGGCAGACTAAAGGATTCTTCATTTATATGTGAAGTCTAGTGACTTCACTAGAGTGTTATCCTTCTGCTGACTGTTTTGCCCAGGGATGTGTTACTTTTTGTCTTTATTTTCCTTTCTTTTGCGGGGGGGGGGTGGTCTTTTCCCCAAGATGTAGATTCAATATTCTTTTATTTCAGGAACAATTTCTTGACTCATACCATTAAATGTTTGCTCTATCTTATTATTATGGTTTTCTTTTTCAGGGATTCCTTTTATATGTATGTTGGATTTATTTTTGTCTGTAATATACTCTACAATTTCTCTCTAATTCTTTTTGATTCTTTATCAGTATCCATTTACTTAGCTTGTGTTTATCATTTCAATCCTTGCTACTTTCTTGTGCTTTCAGTACTCTCTCTTCCCCTGTATTATTTCAAATTTCTCCTTCATATTTATGTTGCTTTTACTTTTTTTGTTGTAACATTTGGTTGAGCCCTGGAAGCTTACAGTGCATTTCTTGTTCTTATCTTACCAACCTCACCTTGACACCCTGTATTTCTGCACTACATAATTGCTTCAAAAAGGTGATTGCAATTCATTACATTTTAAAACTTCACGGTGAAATGTTTGGTCACAATTTTCCACTTCTTTTATGGCAATATGTTTTTAGTATGTGATTCTTTATGTGTAATTGGTTTTCTCTCTTTCTCTCTTGTAGCATCTTTATATAGATCCTGTGCTGGTCCAGTTTTTCTTTTGTATCACTGAACAAAGCGAGTTTTTCTTGGTCTAGCTAAGGGAGATTGAAAATGTGGGTTTTGTTGTTTGTTCTTTTTTTTTTCTCCCCCCCACAATGAAAGACTTTACTTCTCTGTTTGTTTTCACAGATATAGACTACTTACTACACATATGTCTTTTCTATATAGTTCCTCATTTAGCCTCACTTTTTCTGCTTTTTGGAACCAAACCACTTCCATAGATGCTTCTACCTGAAACTATTGCATCATGTCTACAATATAAAAAGGCATGGACCCTAGCCTTAGTGAAAGCTATGTTTGTTAGTTCTTTTTGAAATCTGATTTTGGAACCATTCTTTTGACCTGGAGGTCTAAGAGTTCACTGTTTACCATTTTCAATAAATAGGACATTTGCATAATTGTTTCTCATTCTCTATGTTTTGGGATGATTTGCAGGAATAAAAAAGGGGAAATGTTGACTCTACACTATAATTTTCAAACTGGCAGTCGTCTAGTTTCCAATCATCTCTGTTATTTTTTATTTTTGTTTAGTATTCCAGAGTACATTGAATTAGTTTTTTTGGTTACAAATGAAAAATGTTACAATTGGAAATTATAGACAATTTATTACAGTAAAATGCACATAAGGTACAAGTAATTTCATGTTAATTGTCTCCCCTGAAACAGAGAAGCACTAAAAATTTGTGGCAAAATTTTGAGTGATTCTCCACACCCATCATTTTTATTCCCTTGAAGAATTCAAATTTTATTGGCCATTTAAATTATGATATCACTATTGTGTAAAAATATTGAGGAAATACATTTTATCTTCAAATTGTATACCTATTGATATTTGATAGGAGAAAATCTTATACTTTATGAACAACATAGGACTACATATGAAGACACTATTAGCTCTCATCTTCCCATATTCAATTTCTAGACTCTGATTTCTTATAATAACTTAGATGCACCTACAAAGTAGAAAATATAACAGTGTTGTGTGGAAAAAAAATTCAAAGATGATAAATTTGTCTGAGCTACAAGCATGCAACCAAAATGTAGACCTATAAGCAATTTGTAAGCCATGCATAAAATAAATTTTATGTGTGGGTTGTGTCCCTTGACAAAATTGGTATTAATTGCTGTGGTCTATGCAATAATAATTTGTTTTCATAAACAGCTTAAATGTGCTACATTACTTTATGTTTCAAATTGCCATTTGTGTTGAATACATTAAGTCTGGGTTTTTAAAATAATGGGTGAATTAGTATGAAAGATGTGAAATTCAGTTTTACTGTCCTTTTTCTACTTCCCCTCTATCCCACAGAGAAATTATTCAAGGAAGAAAGGAAACTTATTATTCAGGAGCATTATATGATAAAGAGAATAATAAGTAGGGATCTTCCCGCACCAGGGCTCAAACCCATGTCCCCTGCATTGGCAGGTGGATTCTTTTTTTTTTTTTTTTTTTTTTTTTTGCGGTACACGGGCCTCTCACTGTTGTGGCCTCTCCTGTTGCGGAGCACAGGCTCCGGATGCACAGGCTCAGCAGCCATGGCTCACGGGCCCAGCTGCTCCACAGCATGTGAGATCTTCCTGGACCGGGGCACAAACCTGTGTCCCCTGCATCGGCAGGCGGACTCTCAACCACTTCGCCACCAGGGAAGCCCTGGCAGGTGGATTCTTAACCACTGTACCTCCAGGGAAGTCCCAGGCCATTTCTGTCATTACCATTAGTATAGGCATGTGCTGTACACTAGGGTAATTGCGTCACCTCCCATTGAACACAACCTCCCATTTCTGCCTTAATACCATTGTTCTTATGCTGCCTTCTTTATGTGGAGTACCTTTACCCATATCTTTAATTGAAATCCTGGCCATCCTTCAAGGTCAGTTGAAAATCTGCTTTATCAGTGAATTCATCTCAGATCCTTTCTGCTTGAAAATATTCTCCTCATCTCTAATTCTATTAACCTTTTATTATCGCTTATTTATGACTCTCCTTATATTCTTTGTAATTATTTTTGACAATTTCTTTTCTCCTCATTACTTCTGTTTCAAAATTTAACGCTGGTAACTTTCTTTCTAAAATATTTCAGCACTTTAAACATCCAAAAAATAACAGAAGAGTACAAATTGTGCTTTTAAGTGCAGGTTTATAAATGTTTACTGGTGCAGTTGGGTTTTCACTTTGTTAATGATGCAAAGGTTTACTGTGGTATTCTTGTCAAGATTACATAATCTGAAATTTAGGAGGGCTCAAGATAGCAGTGTAGAAATATCCTAAACTCATATTTCCCATGAACCCAACAAACCTACAGCTATATATGGAATAATTCCATAAGAAAGGGACTTGAAAACTGGATGAACAGAGACTCTACAACAAAGGGCAAAAGGACAGTACACTTGGCTCAACAGGGAATATGTCCAAGAAAACTATTGAACTGTAGGAAACAGAAAACCTGCTCATA